CTATACCTCCTCCCATTATATCACACTCCTTTCTCCTATTAGCTATAAGCCCTTTAAAATCTTCTTACTCTCTTGGGCCGGACCATATTCCTAGTTGTCTACTCAAGGAGTGTAGTTCTTCCCTTTGAGTAACTACAATCCTTTTTGCAACTAATTAATTAGCACTGCTATGTGTACAACGAAATTCGTAGTTTTATATTTTGTTTCAAATGTATTTATTTGCCGCACAGAGCACTTATTATAATTTACGAAATGTTATAATATTGCTCGGCACTCAACTCGAAATAGTTGTGCCTTGCTTGCGATCAAACGAAAAACTAAAACTATATGCAAAACGAACTAAATTGAGCTCCGCTCAGAATGATGGGCAGTGGGCGTCAATGCAGAAGGCAAAGGGCCGATGAAGAGAGTAGGCATCAACTGACAAAGAACAAACATAATTTGCTCTTAGGTTGTAATTAAGTTTATTGTCTTCTGCTGTTACTGGAAAAAGCCGTCGCTGTTATCTATATGCAACTCTAGATACCCTATCAGATCCCGAGATCAGCTCTAGAACTCTAGCTAATGGCCTCTTAAGCGGCGGTAGGTTCTCATCCTTTATAAGGACGACATCGTTGACGGAAAATCCTGGCTGAGGAGTGCGCCATTTGGAGTGCTGTTGAGGTATGTGACGCGCTGAAAATAGCTAAGCCGATTGAAATTAAGCTTCCTTAGATCAGGCTCAATGTATGACGAAGATGGCGCTGTACCCAGAAAGTGTGCGGGTGTCAAGACTTCAAGATCATCGGGATGTTCTGAAAGTGGAAGTAATGGACGAGAATTAATAATTGCCGTGATGTGGCAGACGAGCGTGCGCAGCGAATCGAAGTACAAGATGGGAGGGCCGGCAGAGCGATAAAAAATGGTGCTTCGCAGTCTTCACAGCGGCTTCCCATAACCCGCCAATGTGTGGAGAGAGAGGAGGGATGAACGACCATTCAATTTAGTCGGATAGGCAAAACTCGTGAACAGCTTTGACATGGTCGTCACTCAGGAACAGGCGGCTCAGATCTGCCAGCTCATTCTTAGCGCCTACGAAGTTTGTCGCATTGCCAGACCAGATCCTTGAAGTTCGAGTGCGAGTCAGGATGAACCGTTTTAGGGTGTTTAGAAACGGTATTTTAGAGAAATCGTTCACAAGCTCTAAGTGTACTGCCTTTGTAGCGAAGCATATGAACAGGCTAATGTAGCATTTCACGGGAGGCCTGTTGCAGACTTCGCTTTTGTAGAAGAATGGTCCACAGTAATCAACGCCAGTGACCATAAAATGATACGATGTGTCGAGACGATCAGCTGGTAGATCTGCCATTATATGCTCTGCCTCTGTTTTACGACCGCCAATGGGCCAGTATTGGAGCCGAATCGTAGCCAATACGGCGCGAGGTCCACCATGTAAATTCCGTTTATGAAAGTGGATTATTATTGCTCGGGTCACAGGACGCTGGCGAGGCAATATAATCGGATGTCGCGCTGAGAAGTCCAACGACGAATTTTTCAACCGTCCACTGATGCGGAGTAAGCCGAAGTCGTCAAAAAATGGCGCGAGAGAAGCCATTGAGCTAGACCGTTTGACGGGCCTTCCTTCCATCAGTGCCTTGTAGTCATCGCCAAGAGTAGCCATTTGCACAGACCGCAGCAACAGATGTGTGCCATGATGCAGGTGGCTACCTGTTAGCTCTCGGATTCGATTTACAAACATGTAAATAAGGTTGCCCTGCAGTTCCTTGTGTCGGAGCTCTGGCAAGGATTCGACAGGTACACAGGAGGCAGGCCAGTCTTCCTTTTATTTTCTGAGAAACCTAGAAAGCTCACTGGGCAGCGCTCCTCGTGAAATTATATCCGCCGGGCTTAATTCAGTGGGAATATGATGCCATTCAATGCCAGTGGTGAGCTCTTGGATGGCTGCGACACGATTGGCAACGAAAATATTGAATTTGAAAGCATCATTGCAAGTCCAAGCCAAAACTACAGCAGAGTCTGACCAACAGTAATAACTACAGTTAAACACTTTCAGTTGGCAGCTCTAGCTCTTACAGGTTCTGAGATCCTTGCGTTCATACATACGGACAGACAGTCAGACGGACAGACGGACATCGACTCGGCGGTTGATGCTGATAAAGAATTTATAAACTTTATGGGGTCGGAGATGTCTCCTTCTATGCGTTACACATTTCACGACAAACTTATAATATTCTCTGCAAGGGTATAAGAAATGCTGTATTTATTGGAGCGTGTATTACAGATCCAACAAACACTTACATTTGACACCACAAATACCAATGATATAGAAGACTTTAAAAATATTTCTATTGAACCCATCAGTATATACGAGATTCTTCAAAATTAAGTATTAGGAAAATTAAATAAAAACTTTCCCCAACAATTTGCTATGATTATAGTCAATATAGTCACTTTGCACTAAATATTGTGACATTTTCTGACGCTACAAATAACTATATAAACAAAAGTTGGGATTAAAAGACGAGGTGCTTGTTTACATACATACCAAGATATTAAATCACAAGAAGATAAATTAAACGCACGAAAATCGTTGAATCATTTGTATCCGAATATAACGGCCCACTCTTGCTAATACCTAAAAACCCTTTACCACCGCATGCCAGAAAACAGGAAACCTCATACAAATAGACGAAAGGCATTACGAAGAAACAAAGGTAGAAAGAGCACACATTACAAATATAAATTTAAGAAGAAAAAGAAAATTAATATATGCAGTTAAGATTATTTCAGATCACCTGGACAAAAAAACCCAACTTGAACTCAGAGTATATACTGTTTTTCGTAATAAGCACTTTCGACCGTGAAATCCACCTCTAGAGCTTAGAAACCAACCCAACCCAAGCTAAAAATTGCTACCTAATCTTTAAGACAGGAGTAATACACTAACCCGTAAACTACGAATACCATTATCTGTCTGTTAATATAACTACAACAGAACAAACTTATAACAAAATAATAAAACAAGCTGAAGAATATGAGACATACTATCAGATAAGATACTTAATAGAAAAATTAGAAAAGGAAATGAATGGCATGATAATAGCAAAACGCAGCAAAAGCGGTATTGCTAACTTTATGGGAACAATTTATAAATTCCTGATCGGCACATTCTACCAACGAGATAAGGAGGAATTGGAATGTAAAATGAATATTATAGCAGAAAAAAGCGTACAAGCAAACGAACTCAGTCGAGTAATAGAACGGCAAAACGTCGAAAAGAAAATCAACATTCGATTCGATGTACGATACGATACGATTTAATTCGCTACGTACGATTGCTGAAATATTTATTATCTTTCATTATTTAATGAAAGTAAGCCCCGACGAAAAGGCAATTGTGCAGATATCGACTTCTGTATATACAAACTAATTCTAACGGTGCACTTACAACGTAAGAAGCGAGCGCTGCTTACAGAAAAATGCGATACCCAGTAGGACTTAGTGACAATAGACATTTTCACGAGTAATAATTCCATTGGCGGTTCGAACCACGGCGCCTCGAACCTGGCCGTCTTTTAAACGGTAAACGTCGACTACCACTACTCTTGTCTAACAGTTTCGTTTGGCAACATCCCCCACTATTATGACGATGTCGTCGACTGATGTTAGTTCGATAGGCGGTTGGAACCACTTAGTACGTCTGGTGAGTGTGGGCAGATACTCGCTCAACCATCTCTTCCAAAATTGATTAGTCAATTGGCTGGCGACTCGGAAGCCTCGTGCCAACGAACGGACGAACGAACGGACAGACAGACGGTCATGGCAAGATCGACTCGGCTATTGGTGCTGATCAAGAATATAAGTACTTTATAGGGTCGGAGATGCTTCCTTCTGCCTGTTACATACATTTGGATTTTGCACAAATACAATATACCCTTATACCCATTTTTAATGGTTCAGGGTATAATTAAAATTTACCAGGAAATGAACCATGAACACGCTAAGGAAATGAGTTAAGAATGCCTACGTAATTTACTTCCACAATGACGCAGGCTTAATGTTTTTCCATAAAGCTTATGTTGAAATAATCTCAATCCAAATAACTTAGCAAACTTCAAGTATCGTATTTAAACATTGAGCTACTATAATAAATATATAATATTTAAATAGATGAGTGCTCTTTAAATTTTCAGAGCAAACGATGTAATAATAACGATAGCAATATTCATTTTATGATTTGAAAAATGATATATATATGATTTTGGGGCTCTAGGAATCATTTTTACAAATTGGGGTCTCTCGTGGTACATATGTGGAGCGCTAAGTTGCTAGGGCTTATGTCTAGGGAGTTGGCAATAGGTACTGTGGACATATATATGTTATTTGTTATTATGTTATTTTATGCATTTATGTTATAAAATCAATCTTCTCGAATAGCTTTGAAAATGATTTTGAAACTGAGTAAACAAACTACTGTCATACAAACGTTCTTCGTCATTTTACCACTGTTTCGAGTGGAATTCCCAAATCGCTGAAACACGTATTCAATATATTCTTATATTGAGCTTTGAAAATAAGTTTAAAGCAAATCGGACACCATTTAAAACTTCGCCACACAAAATCTTTGAATCGCATTTCTACCGAATGAGTTTAAATTTTGCGAAAATGATTTTTCATATAGAGCCTTGAAAGTAAATTTGAGCGCGAAACGTCACCCACCAAAAGTGAGTTTGAACAAATTACTTTGAAATTGAGTTTGAGGCCAATTTCATCATTTAAGGAAACTATTGTGAAAATTTCAGCTTCCTAGCTCTTACGGTTTGGGCTGTGCGTTGATCACCAATTAGTCACTCAAACAGTTTTATATATAGAGATTAGGATATGTGAGTGTATGGTACTTATAGTATATGTTGTGGGTGTGAGTGTTTTAATTATATTATCTATCTATAGGATAGGAAGTTCTATTGTATTACTGCTAATAATCTATATTTATATTTCAGGAACTGCAAGATTTCATAGACGAAGCCAAGGTTGTGCTAAAAATGGAATTAAAAAGAGATGACTTTGATGGCTTAGTTAAGATACTCTCTGTATTAAACCAAATAAATGAAAAGCAATTTGTCTTCGACAATATGTTTGAACCTCTTAGAGATATCGTAAACCTGCTCAGAAAGTATGGATACGAATTTAAAGACACAGAGCTTTTACAACTTAACGAATTGCCAGATGCATGGCTAAAAATAAAGCGGCAAGCGGCTATGACAAAACAGCTTATTGCACCCATACAAAGCTACCAGGTGGACCAAATAGAAAAACGCATATTGCTCTGCAACAATATGGCAAACACATATCGAAAAAAATTTATGCGAAAGAAATTTTTAAATGTTCCGTGTCCTAATTGCTATGATCTCATTGACGAAACAGATTTAGAAATTGTTGAATTAGAAGAACGGCAACAAACTCTTACTGAGTCTGCAATTCTTTTTGAGTTACAAGGCCCCGATCCTACGAAGATTGAACTTTGTCGCAACGATCTCAAACTTGTTAAAATAATGTGGGACTTTGCTATTTCAATCGAATCTACTATAAATGATTGGAAAAAAACACCATGGAAAAAGATTGATATTGAAGCAATGGATCAAGAGTGTAAGAAGTTTGGAAGAGAGTTGCGAGGCTTAGACCCAGCAATGCGTAGCTGGGAACCATTTATATTCATGGAGGCGTCATTAAAAAATCTGATGACATCTCTACGTGCAGTCACAGAACTTCAAAACCCTGCAATACGGGATCGCCATTGGGTAGAGCTGATGCAGACCACTAAGGTAAAATTCAGCATGGACGATTCAACGACTTTAAAGTATCTTATTGATCTAAATTTGCATGAATACGAGGAAGAGGTTAAAAATATTGTTGATAAATCGGTTAAAGAAATGAACATGGAAAAGCAACTACGAGATATAGCAGCAGCCTGGGCTGGCATGGAATTTGGTATAGAAGTACACGAACGCACTGGTATTAAATTATTGAAAGCATCTGAAGAAATGATTGAGACTCTAGAAGACCATCAAGCTCAGTTACAAAATATGACCTCATCAAAATATGTAACTTTTTTTCTGCAAGAAGTGTCATCCTGGCAACAGAAACTATCAAACGCAGATCAAATCATTGGCTCTTGGTTTGAAGTTCAGCGAAAATGGCAGTATCTGGAAAGCATTTTCATAGGCTCTGAGGACATACGATCACAATTGCCTGAAGATTCTAAGCGATTTGACTTTATTGATAGAGAATTTCGAGCTTTGTTGGCTCAAATGAACTCTGATCGTAATGTTGTTCGATCAACTAATCGTTCTGGTAGCAAACTCTACGAACATTTGGAAACATTGCTTAAAATGCTGCTACTATGTGAGAAAGCACTTAACGATTATTTGGAGACAAAACGACTATCTTACCCTCGGTTTTATTTTGTTTCATCGGCAGATTTGTTAGATATTTTATCAAATGGGAATAATCCTGCAATGGTATCGCGTCATTTGACTAAGTTATACGATTCTATTGGAAAACTTAATCTCATAGCTGGTACGAGACAAGCAGGAGGTATGGTAGCCAAGGAGCTAGAAGAATATGTTCCTTTTTTGCAAAATTGTGATTGCAGTGGTAAAGTTGAGGTTTGGCTAAATCGAGTGACCGATAAAATGCGGGAGACGCTTCGAGATCAGCTGAGACGTTCTTTAACTCAATATGATCATAAGCCACGTCATGTTTGGATATTTGAATGGCCAGCTCAGCCAGCCTTGGTCGGCACGCAAATCATGTGGACAGCTGAAACAAATGATGCATTTGCTAAAGTACAGCTGCGGTATGAAAATGCCCTTAAGGATTATAATAGGAAGCAAGTGAATCAACTGAATAACCTAATTATACTTTTGTTGGGAGATCTTACAGCGGCAGAGCGGCAGAAGGTCATGACCGTCTGTACCATCGATGTCCATAGTCGTGACGTTGTGTCTACTATAATATCAAAAAAAATAGAGGTACAGACGGCGTTTCAATGGCAAAGTCAATTGCGCCATCGTTGGGACAGCAAAATTGATGATTGCTTTGCTAATATTTGTGATGCTCAGTTCCGTTACGACTATGAGTATCTTGGTAACACTCCACGTCTTGTAATTACTCCGCTAACAGATCGCTGCTACATTACACTAACTCAGTCTCTACATCTTGTTATGGGTGGTGCTCCAGCAGGGCCCGCCGGAACTGGAAAAACTGAAACAACCAAGGACTTAGGGCGTGCTTTAGGCATGATGGTGTACGTATTTAATTGCTCTGAACAAATGGACTATAAATCAATTGGCAACATTCATAAGGGTCTTGCGCAAACTGGAGCTTGGGGTTGCTTTGATGAATTTAATAGAATATCAGTTGAAGTGTTATCCGTTGTAGCTGTTCAGGTGAAGTGTATGCAGGATGCTATAAAAGCTAAAAAAACAACCTTCAGCTTCTTAGGCGAATATATCGCCTTGAGAGCTACTGTTGGTGTGTTTATAACTATGAATCCAGGATACGCTGGTCGTGCAGAGCTGCCGGAAAATTTAAAAGCCCTTTATCGTCCTTGTGCTATGGTAGTCCCCGATTTTGCTCTTATAAGTGAAATTATGTTGGTGGCCGAGGGATTTCAGGAGGCACGCTTGTTGGCAAGAAAATTTATTACTCTTTATACACTATGCAGAGAGCTTCTTTCTAAACAAGATCATTATGATTGGGGATTGCGTGCAATAAAATCCGTACTTGTTGTTGCTGGCGCTTTGAGGGTAAGTTGTACATATCATATCCTATCTCTACAATGAATTGTCGTAATGCTACTGCCTGCTTGCATGCGATAGATAATGCTATATACTCGGATTCTTTTCTGTTTCTCCGACTTCCATGAGTTAGGACCTTCAGCTAGGACCAACACATCCAGTATTAGCCCGACGATCACCCAGTCCACGTATCCCACAAGAGTCGGCTGGCACTCTTTGTAACGCAGCTTCGTTACATGTTGAACCATTTGTGCACTGTGGGGTTCACACCCTGTATCTGTGGACATCCCTTCGCTAAAAGCCGTGCCTGTAACGCTCTATTCAAACATTCTCCATTTTCAGCCAATTGCGCATTGAATTTGTGACAATTCCTTAATTTTCCACGTTCTATTCAACATCAGAAGGTCATACACTCTGTTTATTGCCTTACGCCACAGTGCAGCTTCGGAACAGCTGATGGCCTCCTATTAGGATGTACAGACTGGTATGTTGCGCCTTTCCACAGCTCAAGGAATATTATACTGCTTCTTGGTTCGCCATGCCTTCCACTGCATATAACTCTATGTCAACCTTGTGCCACAAGTAGTTCGTCTGCCCTAACGAAATTGTAGTTACTGCTGCCATTTTTTATGCCGACGCTGACTTCGTCGTCTGAGCCATTGTCAGTATTTATTTTTATACCCGTGCAGAGGGTATTATAATTTTGTCGTGAAATGTGTAACGCTTAGAAGGAGACATCTCCGACCCCATAAAGTATATATATTCTTGATCAGCATCAACAGCCGAGTCAAAGCCATGTCTGTCTGTCTGTTTCCATGCGAACTAGTCTCTCAGTTTTAAAGCTATCTTAATAAAACTTTGTAGAAGTCCCTCTTTCTGTTGCACGCAGCACATATGCCAAAACCAGCTGGATCGGACCACTATATCATATAGCTGCCATAGGAACGATCGGTCGAAAATTAAGTTGTATGTAAAAACATTTTGTTTTTCAAGATATTTTGACCAAACTCGGCATTTATTAGTTTGTGAGGCGGCCACTAAGGTAGCCACCCCACAATTCATAATGATAATTATATGGTATAAGCATTGTTTAGTATATAAGCATTGTATTAGTAATAAGAACAGTTAAGGCTAGTTGCCGATGCTTTGAAGCTAGTTAAGGGCAACGAGCCCGGTTCGAATTAAGTTTGAATTTAACCGCCGGTCGCCCCCGGAAACCGTGCGTGGCCAAGCAATACATCGCAATTAGGAAAATGCAAAGAATAGAATACCCTGTGCTAGGCAGAAATGAACACCCGCACAATCTAGACGACCAAAAATGTGAACAGAATCGAGCACACAGAGTGAACATTGGAAAAATAATGGCTATCGAAAATGTACAGCGCGCGCGCCAGACGGTACAGCGAGACCACGCTTATACACGTGTGCCGCAGCCGACGTCGGCGTCGAAGGGCCGTTAAGGCGTCACGACAGAGGCTGTACAGTGGGACGAATTCAACTCGCATGCGGTGAAAAGTTGAATTCGTAAGTACAACATAAGTAATGAGTGAACTATAAAATAACGAAGTGTAAGACAAGTTGAAGGAACGAGAAGTTAAAGTTGAGGGAACAGAAAGTGACGGATTTTGTTTATTTTTGTTTGGTTGCGTGACCGAAAAAAAAAAATAAATAAAAAAAATTATAAACTATATATTAAAAGAAATAAAATAAATCCATAAAGAATCAGAATTTTAACAATTGTCAATAATTGGTGGAGTTTTTTTAAACAACAATAAACAAAAGAGATAATAATAATTATTGACAATAATCAGTAAGTTATTTTGTTTTATTTTTTGGTGGAGAACCCAACAAAAAAAATTGAAGAAAAAAAAAACCAAGAGTGAGCGGAAAGTTTAAAATGGAATCAGGTGAGTGCGAAATGCCGGGGGTATGCGTTCGTTGGATCCACCAGCTGAGCAAGGAGTTTGGGCTGGAAAAGGAAGGGCGCGGGAAGAGCTGCGTAGGCGGTTTCCACCTACGTGCAGGAGGGCAGCCATTCGCCTGGAGTCTCAGTTCACGAACGACGACCTCGCCACAAGTCTGAGCCTGATCGTAGGAGCTCGTAATCATACGGGCGTCCGCAGCCGTTTATCCCTGGCGTGGCAGTCACGGGGGTGGAAGAGGCTCACGATCCCGGGAAAAACGGGAATCGCCGATCCACCACGACGAACGTGGGTATAAGGCGCAACCGGATAGAGCCTATTCACGTCCCCTACGCTGCCCAACCGTATTCTCGGCCTTTCACAAACGTCCGGCAATAAGTTCCGAAGTGGGGCATGGGATAAGATGTCCGCTCCGCTCGCTTCTGCCTCTTTTTTCAATTAAGCTATTCTCTCCGATTTTCTCCTTTGAATCATTACGCTTTTTTAAATCTATATATTTCAAGTAAAGTAAATTAAATCTGAAAAAAACACTCACAAGAAACACTGACAAAAACTTATTTATTAATCTAAGGTGGAAAAAAAACAAAACTAAAAAGCTCTATTTACTTTATTTAAAATCAAATCAATAAAAACAACAGAAGCAACTAAATGTGCATGCAAAATTTCTAAATACTCCTTATTAAGGACTTGTGCTTCCGTAATGCCTCGAGTGGCGCTATGCTTACGTAGCAAATGGATCTGCTAATTTTATTAATCATTTCCAATATTTTAAAATTGAGAAATTTATCTGTTCTGCAACCCCTCTCCTATCTGTTTCTAAGTTCTGACCTAGCGATGGCTGTTAAACTTTCTGGACACACTCTGTTAATGCCAGCAAAAATAGTTGTCCAATAGTAGTTCAGCTCCTCTGAATCACAATCTTCGATCAGGTAACTAGCTATTCTTTCCATGTCATAATTTTCGACAGGAAAGTTTCTTGGGCTCCTGCGTAAATGTCGTCTTCTATGAAGGCTTGAGCAGATCTTGCCACTAACCGCGATACCAAGTCCCTACCTTATCAGATGCAACAAACGGAACTTCGTCAGACGAAAAGGACGAAAAGGTTTCTATAAAGCTTAGTGTTGACTCGAAATTTTATTGCATTAGCAACTTTAGAAGGCCTAATAGTTTCAGCCATGATATCATGACTTTATTTTATCCTACATTTGAGATGAATTTACACTACCTCGCTCTCATTAAATGCCCTCGAAGGGACGTAACAACATTGGCCACAGGAATTGGTACATTGACCATTGCTTCTTCCATTGCATTTTGTCGGCCATAATCTTGAGACTTAATAATCATGTCAAAAAGGCGATTGGAAATCAGTCTTTTCTGTAAAGGCTTACTTCGGCACTACTCTTGCGTTCGATAGCCTCCACCTTTGCAACAAAGGCAAACCTGATCAGGAACCTGCTTAACTGTTATATTGAATGCAGCTATCATACCATCTTAGTTACTTCTAATAGCTGGAGAGATTGTATCCTTTGGAAAAAAAATTCGCACGTTCACCCCTGTTCCTGGTAGCATTGCGCCTATTCTCTGCTGTTCTAATACCTGTATTACTTCTATACTGGCTAACACGATTGGTCAAACTTCTATTGGCATCAAAGGCTTCTTGTCGTGCTTGACTACGAGCACTTCGCCTTGCACTTGTATTTCTTGCTTCCTCAATAATCCTACGAATCGGATTTTCTCTAACCTGTGATCTTTGATTCCTATCCCTCTTTCTAAAAGTAATCGTTCCACATTTTGTCGATGGCGAGTTCGCCGAGCTCCTGTCTACGTCTCGAGTGGTCTTCTGTATTTTGCCCCTGTTCGTTTTCCAGCTAGATTGGGTCTTGTCTGCGTCCCGATCGACGCGTATTATCAGCCAATTGCTCCTGTTGCCTTACTGGGGATTAAGCTTGTCGAGTCGAGAGGTTTTCAGTATTTTGTCTCTGTTCGTTTGCCCGATAGATAGGGTCGTGTTTGCCTCTCAATTACCGCGAAGTATAAGCCAATTGCTTCCGTTGTCTTACTGGAGAATTAGCTCGTCGAGTCGAGTGGTCTTCAGTATTTTGCATCTCGATCGACCCGAAGTATCAGCCAATTGCTCCTATTGCCTTACTGGTGAATAGCTCCTCGAGTCGAGTGGTCTTCAGTATTTTGTCCCTGTTGGTATGCCCTAAAAGCTGGGTCTTGTCTGCGTCTCGATCGACTCGAAGTATCTGCCAATTGCTCCTGTTGCCTTACTAGATAATTTGCTCGTCGAGTCGTGTGGTCTTCAGTATTTTGTCCCTGTTCATTTGCCTGATAGATTGGGTCTTCTCTGCGCATCGATCGACGTGAAATATAAGCCAATTTTTTCTGTTGCCTTACTTAAGAAGTATTTTGTTCCAGCTCGTTTGCCCTAAAAACTAGGTCTTCTCTGCGAACTTGGTATCGTTGCCTATTACTATTTCTCTTAATTTGGCTAAAACCGTCACCGTCTCTACGCTCTCGTTGAAATAAATAAAAAGTTGGAACTAGATATATGAAGTATTCTAAAAGACTATAAATAAAATTATATTAATGCACTTGCGATTTTAATTGAAATGGAGCTCCAGATGGTAAAACAAGATCAGTGTCCTAAGTAAGATACAAAAAATGCACTACACGACAGTCACAATCCACTCTCAAGTCACTTTTCTAGCACCAGTTTATGCAAAACGCAGTCACACTACGTGTATACATACATACATACAATGTACATGCATTTACGCGCGAGTTACCAGAGTTCAACCTTGTCGAGAGTTAAAGGTGACCTCCGATGTTGAAGAGATTCCACCAGTTTAAGTTATTTATTAAGTTAAGAATTTAATAATGCGAAATAATAATTACTTTGTGTTGAAGTTCAAACCAAACTAAATTATTCTTTATTAACAGAAGTAAATATATATCTTAAATGTCTACAAGCTGCCAAACTGGTCGTCACTGGTGTTCCATTTCTATATGTGTCGGAACATCAACATCCTGTCCATTGCTGATTTTGCGTTTTTTTGTTGATGCAGCAACATAGTGCTACAA